GCTAGAGGAAAAATCCTCTGCCCCCATCGGGGATCGAACCCCGGTCGTCCAGCCCGTAGCTAGTCACTATACTGATTGAGCTATCCCGGCTCATTTTGAGGATATAAATGGAATACTGATGCATAAACCAGCATTGATAATGGATTGATATATTACTGACTAGGTTCTTGTATATTTTACAACAAAAAACTGAAAAAATGTATGTATCATGAAATATTTTTCTGTTGTCAACATTTCAGGGTTAAAAATGTGTCTTACTGAGAAATTGTAAAATTGGGGTTTCATTGTACAAAGTAAAATAATGGTGGTAGAAATGTGTACACTATTATACATGCAAATGTAAATTTACATTAAGCCATCATAGATACAAGTATGTATTTTCAGTTCAAAAAAATAAATGTCATGATTTGCACATGCCAAATAAAGTCACTTTTTCAGTCACTCATGTGTCTATAATTGACTTTGTTATTTAGGCTTGAAGGAACAAAATCAAAGTTGGCACCAGCCCATCCTCTGCAGATGTCAGAAATGAAGGTAAAAAAACCCAACACTTTGACTTTATGTATGCACACTTCTATTCTGAAGAAATATTATCCCAGTGTTGTAGATACATGTAGATTGTGTTTTCTTCATATAGTAGTACTTGTTTGTGTTTGTCAGTTTGCAGAAAATAAAGAACGGATGAACATGGCGATGCTGCGTAACATTCAGGGTCTTCATGCACCATTACAACTCACCATGGAGCTCCAGGCAGCAAATAAAATTGGACGATTACCATTCTTGCCAAGCTCAGGATTTATGAGTGATATACTGATGGGTCGTGATGAAGAGATGGGGTTTGAGGACTTCCTGAATACAGTAGAATTCCGTGAACAGATGGCACAGCCACATGCTGTTCTTGAAAAACAATTGGGTTTTCTTTAAGTGTAAGGCTTGATTTATTTATTTGTTGTATTTCAATCCAGTAATAAAATTACAGTTAAGGGTTGGGGAATTTTAATCCTTTGTGTCCTTTGCACGTTTTATTTTGCATGGCCTGGCATTTATATCTTAATTAATGGTCATACTGTTAATATGACCTGATGGAGTAACTGGATTGTGTTGCATTGCATCATATCAGATTCAGCATGGGAAACAGTGGGTTAATATTCAAATGAGATTTTTGAGTCTGTTGGTAACTGTTACCATAAGTGGTTGAGGAATTCTGTGCGTGCATAGTGGCATCTTCTTTCTTGTATATGAAGTACTACACATTATCACAGTATTTATATTCACCTTTCATGTTTCTTTGGTGTGATACAGCCTTTCATATGGTTGCAATGTCACACTGTAGCATGTGAATGTAACAGATGGTGATTCCCATCATATGCTCATGCAATTGCTTGTTCATCATGCTTCAGCTTTTTTACCTCCCTTCTGACATGCTTTTCAGACATGATTTTGAGTTATTTATGCTAATTTCACAAGAGTTTATGCCCCTTTTCCATGGTTGGCCAGGTATATACCTGGATCATACTGTAGTCTTGTGTGTATTTAGGTAAGTTTTATGCTGAAGTGATAATGAAAGATACATAACTTAATTGTTATGATATTTTGGAAATATGTTCATGTCGGTTGAAAAACATTCATGAAAGAGAAGTTAACATGTAAATTATATCAGTATTTGTGAGTATGAGAGGAAAAATGAAGCTATACACTCCATCTTCTACTGTGTATATTACATTATTTACTTGTAGCATTAGTTTACACATTATAGCACTACTTTTTTGTTATTTCAAAAGCTGATGCTTATGAAAAATATTTGGGTTATTTCACAGTAAATGATCATAGCTGACAACCTGTTATGTATGTGTGACATTCCTTAAGTTTGTGGATGATTAAAAATGTTAGCATCCTTTGTCTTCCAGTAAATTCAACAGCAGTGCTTAAAAATTGCAGTGGCATTTTTATACATGGCTATGAGACTCCGTTTTTGGATGTTTGAAAGCTAATGAAGTTATGTTTCTAATAGTGTATCACAGTTTGTGTCTGTTTTATTTTCAAGGCTGTTATATTTAACCCTTGACTTTGATATATACTTTTTTTTAAAGCCAGGTTAGAAATTGTGTCTTGGGTCTTGGTATGTTTATATATTGTCCCCAGTGCACTAATGTCTCATTGCAGATTTTAAACTTAGTTTGCATATGTGACTTGTTAAGATGTGTATGTTCTCAGCACACTTTGATATCTGTAATATTTAAGTGGAGACAAACAGGTAATCCATGGATCTTGAAACTTCCCAAGTGATCTGTTTGTTATTCCTAAAGAAACTGGGGTGCATAACATTTAAAATGTGGGATGATAATTTTACAGATATATATAATACATATAAAATAGATTACTGATTCCATATTATAGTGAAACTCAGTGTTTTTTGAAGATTTGCATTCTGATGAAGAAAAAACAAGCCAACCCTGCACTCTGCTGTTCTTTAGAAGAATCTCTTGTAAGTTTCCCTTCATCAGCTAAGTGCCCAGCCAAGTCAGGGTGAAGTCTCAACACTTCCTCATCACCTGCAGAAATCATTAACTTGTGTGCAGTTCATCCACAGTAATAACAAAAATGTAATAAATTGTGAAACTTTCCTAATGTATATGAAGAAACTACTATGGTAAGTCTAGTTTTTCTTTCAGTTTGGTTAGGGATTGTGGTACTTCTTGTGATTGAAAATACTTTTATTTTGTTTCTACTATCATAGGATAGCTCAGTCGGTATAGTGACATAATTATGGGTTGGTTGACTGATATTCTATCCCCAGAAGGGCAGAATTTTTCTCTTTGGTGCAGACCAGTCCAGCTCTGGGACCCAACCAGCCTTCTATGCAGTGGGTATGAGGCTCTTTCCTTTGGGGTAAAGTGATCAGGGTGTGAAACCTAACCACTGACCTCCATTTAGAGCAGATGTTAAGAATGCATGGAGCTTTACATCCACCAAGGAGAACTACCATTACCTTTACCTTCGCTATCATGTTTGGGGTCTTTCTTCAATGTAACAGTAACCTCTTCCATTGATTAATGTTTGGTTATTTAACAATTTTGTTTTGATTGCATAAGTTACTTAGTGTCATGAGATGGGGAGATCTTGGATGGTGAATAGGTAAGGATATCAGAAGAGGTGGATTGTCTTGTTCCAACAACTACAGAGTCTGAGGGAAAGCACAGAAATGTCAGTCATGAAAGCAGCTAGTACAGCAATGATTTGTAATGGGTACCTCCCAAATACATGCCTGTGGAATTGCAGCTACATCAACCTTAAGCTATGTCTACACTCGTGCGCTTTTACGTTCGTCAATGGCATGCGTTATAGCGCACGTAACGCATGCGTCTACGCATGTCTGAAGAGAGTTGAACGGCAGCAGTTTTAGCAGCGCATGCCTCATTGCATGTGTTCCCAGCCTGAGTGGGTTTTGGTTCAACACGCCGTGCGTCTCATTCTCAAGATGGCGTCTTCTGAAGAAGAGACTTTGTTGTTTATCGACATTTACAGGTCGTTTCAACTGTTATGGGACCACAACCATCGAGACTACACTAATAAAACAAAACGTAGCGATGCTTTGACTGAATTTAAAAGAAAAAGTGGTTCGGGCGCT